TGTGGGAGCATTCACAACTTCTGGAGGCAAGTTGTTCCACTGATTAACTGTTCTCACTGTCAGGAAATGCCTCCTTAGTTCTAGGTTGCTTTTCTCCTTGATTAGTTTCCATCCATCGCTTCTTGTCCTGCCCTCAGGTGCTTTGGAGAATAGCTTGACTCCCTCTTCTTTGTGGCAGCCCCTGAGATATTGGAAGACTGCTATCATGTCACCCCTAGTCCTTCTTTTCATTAGACTAAACATACCGAGTTCCTGCAACCTTTCTTCATATGTTTTAGCCTCCAGTCCCCTAATCATCTTTGTTGCTCTTCTCTGCACTCTTTCCAGAGTCTCAACATCTTTTTTTACATCATGGCAACCAAAATTGGATGCAGTATTCCAAGTGTAGTCTCACTAAGATATTATGAAGTGGTCTTAACACTTCATATGATCTTGATTCTATCCCTCTGTATATGCAGAGTAGAACTGTGTTGGCTTTTTGAGGCAGCTGCAGCACACGGCTGGCTCATATTTAAATGTTGTCCACTAGGACAGGGGTCCCCAACCACCGGGCCCCGGACCGGTACCGGTCCGTGGATCATTCTGTACTGGGCTGCAAAGAATGAAAGTAGGGCCTACTTTGCTTGGGCGCCGCCATCTTGTTTCGACGGGGCTTGAGAAAGTGCTTCCGGGTGAGCTTGTCGGTCGTCGGTTCGAAAGCGGCGTTTGGGTGCTGAAGGAATCCTCGCGCGTTAGTTTCGTCGAAGGGGGGGGGCGGCTTCGAACGAAGAGCCGTCCCGATGGCGGTGGAGTCTCGCGTTACTCAGGAGATTAAGAAAGAGCCCGAAAAGCCCATCGACCGCGAGAAGGTACAAAGGAGGAGTTGAAGGTGGCAGGGAGAAGCGGGGGACGGCTGGCTGGCCGGTCGCTCGGCTCGCCTTGCCTTGGTCGTGCCGGTACCGGTCCGTGGATCATTTTGTATCGGGCCGCAAAGAATGAATAATCGTGAAACTGGTCCTTGGTACAAAAAAGGTTGGGGACCACTGCACTAGGACTCCAAGATCCCTGTCACAGTTACTACTAGTGAGTGAGATCCCATCCTATACTGTACCTGTGCATTTTGGTTTTTCTTGCCTAAGTGTAGATCCTTACTTTTTTTCACCATTGAAACAAATTGAACGAGTATTTACAAGGGTTGAGACAAGAGTGAGAGCAACCCTTGAGAGGACCAAGAACCCAACGCACCTGTTGAGCTTTAGAAGACAATTGCAACTCCACCCCAGATCTCAACCGGATTTGATTCTCTACTGGAACCTGAACCAGCAGGAAGGCGGACATGCTCCGGGCCAGGACACGGAACCTGCCGAGAGAAAAGCCAGAGAGGAGAGTTAAGAAATGGTGTAGGGTCTCCTGCTTGGGTGGTGGGGGTTGTACTAGATGACCTACAGGGTCCCTTCCAACTCAAATGTCATCAGATACCTGGATCATACTATCATATGTGGGGGACATGCACAGAAGCTAAAAGATATTGGACTAAAATACTTACAGGCTTGGGAAAAAATGATAAAACAACATATAGATTTAAAGCCTGAGATATTTTTATGGGGGATTTTGCCTGAGAATTGTAACAAAGAAATAACATATTTGATTATACATGTATAAACAGCAGCTAGAATTGTATTTGCTCAAAATTGGAAAAATGAGAAAATTCCGATGGAGGAGGTGGTGATTAAGAAAATATTGGAATGTGCAGAAATGAGTAGATTAACATAAGCAATTAGAGAGCAAGAAGAAAAACAGGATTGTGAGATTTGGGAACTATTCTATGGATGGTTGGAAAATAAAGTAGAAATTAAACGATACTGTAATAATGATATACAATGACAGACAATGCTGAATAGGCTATAACCATGATGGTGAACCTATGGCACTCCTGCCACAAGTGGCACGTAGAGCCATTTGTGCCGGCACACGAGCCACAGGCAAACTTACTTCACTGTGCACGCATGTGCCTCACAGCTGATTTTTCGGCTGTTTTGAGGCCTTTTTCGGCCTCCCGGAGGCTTGAAAAAAGCCTCTGCGAGGCTTTTCAGGGTGAATAACAGGCCCATTTCGTCACTTTCTGTAATACAAGAAGTGATGAAACGGGCCTATTATTCATCCTGAAAATGCCCCCTCTGACTGGCCCCACCAACCCCATCTATTCTCCACCTCCTGAATCCCAGCTGATCGGCTGGGTCTTCTTTGGTTGCCCTGCACAGGAGAACAGAGCTGGAAAGCAGGTTAGTGGGGTGGGGAGGGAATGGGGATTTTGCAGTAACCTTCCCCTGCCACGCCCATCAAGCCAAGCCACACCTACCAAGCCACGCCCACAGAACCGGTAGTTAAAAAAATTGAATCCCACCACTGCATCCATCCATCCATCCATCCATCCATCTATCCATCCATCCATCCAACCAACCATCTATCCATCCATCCATCCATCCATCCATGGTAATAGCAATACACTTACTTATATACCGCTTCCCCATGCTTTCCAGCCCTCTCTAAGCGGTTTACAGAGTCAGCCTATTGTCCCCCCAATAATCTGAGTCCTCATTTGACCAACCTCGGAAGGACAGAAGGCTGAGTCAACCTTGAGCCGGTCCGAATCTGAATTCTGGGAGTTGAAGTCCGCACATCTTAAACTTGCCAGGGGAAGCCTGGTTTCCTTTAGTCTACGAAACGATCCTAGGTATTATCTGTACCTCTGTCCACATGTTCGTCTAAGCACCTCCACCCTTGATCGCGAGAGGAGGGGGGCAGGTGGTGGATTTTAAAAAGGATCAGGTGAGAAAAATCCACCTCTGTTAATATGGTTTCGACCAGCAAGGCTTTCTCCTAAACGCTTGTTTGAGTCAAATAAGAGAAGGCAGAGACCAAGTCACCCGGTTTAAATTCAACCCGTGCAGCATCCCACTGAGGGCAAGGACAAAATCAGTCATTGTGAGGCCGTTTGGTGTCACAAGAGAAACCACAGCTATTTTTACCCAGAGCAAACGCAAAACTATTTTAAGGCAAGATAAGTTGTCAGTTCAAGGCAAGACAGGCTGGCAAGACTCCACCTTGTAAGCCAAAATATCATAGGGTACAGGTGAGCCCAAGGCACTCAGGTGACTTGGAAGTCACAAAGGTGCCTTTTTTTTACCCAAGAGGCAACTGGACTTCCTTGCTTTTTATTTTGAAGACGTTTCGCTTCTCATCCAAGAAGCTTCTTCAGCTCTGACTGGGTGGTGGTGAACGGAAGGATTTATACTCCTTGCAGATGGCTGGTCATTTGAAACCTTTTAGAGCTGTGAATGGTGAACCTATGGCACGCGAGCCCCAGCCAAACATACCTGCCCTGCGCACGCGCACGCCTCCCAGTTGATTTTCGGCCCATTGGAGGCAGTTTCCGACCTCCCAGAGGCTTGAGGACCTCTGCAGCCTTTGGAGGCTGAAAACAGGCACTTCTGGTATTTCTGGAAAGCCCGTTTTTCGGCCTGCGGAGGCTTCCCTCGAGCCTCCGGGAAGGCGAAAAAAGGCCTCAAATGGGCCGAAAATCAGCTGGGAGGCGCGTGCCTGCGCAGGTAAGGGGCGGGTGTTCCGTACGCATGTGCATGGGGGCAGGGTGCCCTGCATTGCGGGTGCCAGCATGCAAGCATTCTCTCCCTCTCTCTCTCTCTCGTGCTTTTGGCATACAACCAAAAGGTTCACCATCACTGTTTTAGAGGGCTGTTGAGGCCACTTGGAGGTTTGTCTGCCCACTCAGGGTCACCAGAGTGGTGCAAATGGGTGTGGAGCCTTCTTGGAAACGCTGAAAGGACTGTGCTGTAGACTGGAGAGAGATGATGTCATATCCCTCCCTCTCTGTTGAGGACTGTTCAATTTTGACAAAGGTGGCCTCTTTGACCCCTCTTTCAAACCAGAACTCCTCTCTGTCCAGAATATAAATCCTCCCATTTCCCTGAAGAGCTCTGTCTCAAACAGAGGGGGTGGGATACGACATTGTTGTGGCTCCGATTCCTGAGCCTGTGCTGTTAGAGGAAGAGGACTTGGAAGATGAGGAGGAACAGGGAATGCCTTCCTCCCCAGGACCTTCCTCTCTGGCCATGCCTTCCTCCCTGATAATGCCTCAGGTTCCAGCAGACAACTGAGAGGAACAGCCTGAGATTAATCAGAAGGAAGAGGGCATATCGGAGCAGCCCCTGACAGGGAGTCAAGTGGACGAATGTTGGCTCGATCCTAGGCAGCGTCGTAGGAAGAAACGTGAGCTGCAAACTAGGAGGCGTGGGAGGGTCAGAGAGTGACCTGAGTCATTGAGACACATCCCACAGGGGATAAAAGTGGGTGTGTTTTCTCTGAAAACTTTGTACGGGACAAAGTTTTACTTCTCTTCCAGGTTTCGTTGTGACTTTTTCTTGTGGTCTGCTTTGGAATCTTTAGTGAGTAATTTTTCTTGTTATCATTTCGGCAGAGTGTGTTAGAATGCCAAGGACATTATCAGTATAAAGGATTAACTCTGTAAAGACCATCAGCTTGCCTGCCTGTGTTTGTGTGAGTTTGGACTCTTTCCTCTTTTTTGGAAAAAAAGAAAGGTGAGACATAACACGACATCGTCTGTCTCCGATCTACAACACAGTCCTTTCAGCGGTTCCAAGAGGGCTCTACATCCATTTGCACTACTCAGGTGAGCCTGACGACACAGATAAAATCTCCAAGTGGCCTCAACGGCTCTCTAAAAAGGATGCAAATGACCCGCTGGATGCAAGGAGGATAAATCCTTCCATTCCCCATTCCCCGGTCAGAGATGGAAGAAGCTTCTTGGATGAGAAGCGAAAACGTCTTCAAAATAAAAGCAAGAAAATCTAGTTGCCTCTTGGGAAAAAATAAAAAGAAGCAAAGCTGGGACATCCATGACCTGGATGACTAAGAATCTCCATAGAAAGTCTCAAGAGACACTTTCACACAACCAAGAGGGAGACAACTTTTGCTCTGTGTTTTTACCTGTTGGATAACGGAGACCTCTTGCCCAGCCCGATAGCGCCGAGGAGTCCCGAGCTGAGCCTCTCTTCGGCCAGCAGACTCTGCCGGCCTTGCAGAGATGTCAAGACCCGGATGACCGACTCCAACAAGATGGGGTCTTCCTGTTCGGTTTGGAGGAGGCAGAGCTGCAGAACTTTGTGCCACCAAAGAAACAACTTGGCTTCATCCTTGGCAGAGCTTGGGCAGGGGAGCAACCCAGAAAGACACGCTCTGGTTAGAAACCCAACCATCTCTCCGGTGTCCGATGCACAGCTCGCAAGACGCCCATCGCAAAATCCGGGGAATGGGTTGGCTAGAAACTTAATTATTTTGCCACCTTCCTTTTGGAAGTTGGAAGGGACAGGCCTAGCAGTTAAAGGCATCAGTCTGTGAAGCAGCCCTAGTTCTGCCTTAGGCATGAAAGCCAGCTGGGTGACTTTCAGCCAATCACTGAGAGAATTGGGAGTATTGGTCCCGCCTTAGGCATGTAAGCCAACTGGGTGATTTTAGGCCAATCACCAGGAGACTGAGAGTTCTAGTCCTGCCCTTGGCATGTAAGCCAACTGGGTTATTTTAGGCCAATCACCAGGAGACTGAGAGTTCTAGTCCCGCCCTTGGCATGAAAGCCAGCTGGGTGATTTTAGGCCAATCACTGAGAGAATTGGAGTATTGGTCCT